AGTTTGGCTTTGACGCCTACCTCTAACCTTGTTCTTCATTAATGCATGAAGCCGCTCCCCATCTAGCCCCTGTGACCACACGTTTCCCTGACAGTGCATTAAAGGCAATAGAGAGCAACACTTTTGAAATAATGAGGCTACACTCCCACCTTAGCTCTGAGCCTGACACACCTCTGGAGGCGAAATCATCTAAGAAATTACTATAGATATGAGAGATCAGAGGGAATACGAAATACGATACCCTATTACAGTCTTCTGCTGTGAGACTAAAACGTATATATATATGTGCATTTCTTCTTTTTTTTGTTTAATTATTCGATTGGTTAATTCAATTTGCAGAACACAGCTCTGCCATTTTAACCTTGAGTATCTGTTCATCCGCAAAGCATCTTTTTACCTTCTGACATATGCAAATTAATATACGCGTACATATGCATGTGTGCTGGCTTTTACTTAGATAGCAGCGATATTTCTCCTAAACGATGGGAACCGAGCAACAAAAACTGAAATGCAAATTAGATGAATCGGCATGAAGTGACTATATTATATATATGATGCTTTATTTTGTATTTCCTTTTTTATCAGATGTAAGCAACCACAGAACTGGACAAAAAGAAGCTGAGGGAATAAGAATATTTGAAGGAAAATATGAAATGCCTCAACGAAGGGAATTTGTAGCTTGATGGTTCTAAAAGGACACAGCTGGGTTTATACCACTGTGTCCTGAACACACTGTTTTTCCCTTCACTCTGTCATGGTGCGCTTTTATTTTAATGTAAAGTGAAGGAGGACTCACTGCAAACTCCTTTGGCACTTTCATAGATTCTGAATTGGCCACAACAGGAATCAGACGCCCTCAGTCTTCTTCGTGTAGCTGACAATGCAGCCTTTAGCAAGTGAAGCGAAGACCGTTTTCACCATCTCCATCTTCGTCCTCTCAAGGATTCCAGTTCTAAAAGGGCCACTCGAGCCATGTGGCGAGTCAGTTTGACAATCATGAAAGGTAGCACTAACAAGTGCGAGCTCCTGATAAAGAAAGCCTGGAGTGAGAGACTCAAGTGAAGTGAGGGAATGGGGAGGTGGTTCAAAAGAAAGCCACCCAACCATGAAATGCCGTCGCTTTACACAAAAGACATGGTAGGAGACCGCGTTAGCAGGACAAGAAAAAGACAACAAAATCAGCACAAGGGGGTTGTGTCCATTTAATCAAGTCTAACGACATGTAAAAAATCCAACATTAAACATTTCTTTGCTAGTTCGGACGGATTTAAAATTATTTTTTGTCTTGCTGAACAACATACATTTTCGTCTTTATTTTTTTGGCTGCTTTCTTTTAACATTATCTGTCGTTATACGACGTGTTTATGAAGAGCCTTTACCCGGTTTTGCAGTCTTATAAAGCAAGCTTGGAATAACCTATTTTATTACATTTCAGAGGAATCCATGGAGCAGCCTGGAGGAGAAATTAGCCAGGAGTTTATTGGCTCCAATACAAAAGGAGCAGATTGAAAGGAGGTGAGATGATTGAACTCTCCTTTATTCTGTGATGTGTCCTTTGTGCCAGGCTTGCACTGTCACTTGATGTTATCTCTGTCATTTGAGCCGCGCTCTGCGCCTCTGGTGCCTCGCAGAAAAGAAGATGATGCACCACCAGAGGCCTTGAATAGGCCTGAGTGGAATTTCTCCTTTTGATTCACTTCAAGTGTCAGCCAGTATAAAAGCTTGGTAATGCTTGATTAAGTACTGTTATGATAGAATTTAACCGGCCGAGTGAATAGTGATTAATAAAGAATATTTGTTTTTTGGGAAACTAGGCTGTACTGACAAGGAATACTTCCAAAGAAATATTTGTGAATATTTCCCATTAAAGATCACAGGTGTATAGGCATATATATATTGATATCGATTGATATTTTGTCAAAGTTGTTTCTGAAATGTAAGTGAAGTACTACTAAACATCCTTAACGGCTTGAAATGTCAACTGTCGCTTGTGAAGAAATAGGGTGATAATGGGAGCAATGGCTGAATCCTGCCAGCTGAGGAAAAATAGAGGAGGCAGAGAGAAGGGGGTGGTGCAGATGGAGGAGGATGAAGAGCACCATACAAGGCTGCCATTACCAGAGTAATTCACACACCAAGGAGCAAAAAGAAACCTTTGAGTGGGTGGTTAGGATAGTTGAGGTCTGATCATAACCTCCATTAGCAAAGAAATAAGCTGCAAATGGAGCAGAGGGGCCGTGTGAAGAGAGGAGCTGAATGCTAAAAGAACAAAATGCTCCAGGCAGATTTTTACTGAGACCCAGTTCACAGCTCCTGAACATGTCAAGAGGTTACAGAACAAATAAACATAATCACTGAAGACTTTGTTCAAATCAATGCTGTGTGAATTGTTTACTTCTAATGATTAGAATCATGTTAACCATAACCATTCAAGGCAACCTTTTGCATACAAATCATCACTCAATACCTGTTTAAAAAGCATTCAACCACTGTAACTACGGAAAAATCTCTTTACTATTAGTAAAACATAGACAAGCTAAAGTTAACCAACATATGTATATGACAGCTAGTCGGTATAGGTTAAATTAGATACGATTTACTTTAATTTCTTCTTCTATTATAACAGGTACAATCTATAATTGGAAGCTGCTTATGTTTGCCAGACAGTTTTCTTTCTCCAATCTGTAATTGTTCCATATGTTTAGGGCAAAAAATACATACATATATAATTATGGTCAGAAAAACATTTGGCATTAGCCCAAAGCCTTAGATGTTTGTCCTGGAAATATTCTTAGTTCCTTTCTTTGAGATTAGCTCATAAAGCTTTAGCAACAGAGCAAATATGCCACCAATAGAAGCTCTTACTTGTGTATCAAGGAGTCTCTGAAACATATTTCGTTTGTGTCGTACTATTTGCTGTTGCATGCATGGTTTGTAGAATTACTTTTGCTGACCCACAATTTTCACCTCAGACCAATTGTTGTGATACTGGGTAAAACAGATTAACCACACAAATGTAATTTTGGTTATTCCGTTTTAGCCCCATCGCCCCCTGTTTGCGTGTCAAGTAGGTGGAACGTCTTTCATTATAGTCAATACTGAAATCACTCAAAATCATTCAGCCAATTCAAACCATTTCACAAATACTGACTGTTATGATAATTTTCCATGTTGTATTTTTAAGATGTATGACATTTTAAAAGACCAAGCTACCACCCTATATTAAAAACGTCACGGTTCTCTTTTATCACATAACAGCTCTCAACTTTCAGATTGCAGTTTTTCTAAGAGTTTCATGGGTTTAAATGGGAGGCAGAACTTTCTCTTGCGGAAGCACCTACCAGAATCGTTGTGGGATACTTGCATACCCTCTCCCTTTCAGATAATACAGATCAAACTTTACCAAGTTGATATTGCTCAAATATCTACTCAGGAAAATTAACCTATTTCATAAACTATGACATTTCTATGTATTTCAGTTGAAGATTTTCTTAATTTCCGAAACAGATTTACTACAGGCCTTGCTGAAAGGTACACATATTTCATACAGTATGTACTTTAGCAATGGTTGCTGGATTACAAACCTCTTTGAAGGATTTGAAGATTTATTTATGCTTTTAATTTAGTTGAATGTCCATCTTTCATTTTTAAATAACTAGTATTTGTTTATTCCATCACTTTTTTTATTTAGTTTGGTCACCGTTTTTTTTATTTTTATTTTTTAAAACTTTTTTAAATACAGCTTTGTAAAATTATGCTCTGCCTAAATGTTGGAACTTTGCAGTTTCTTTAATTATTTGAATATAAACAGGTAGTCCATGAATACAAAAAAAGGGAAATCCATGTATGTTGAATGATCTGTTGAATGGTTTGAGAAAGAAAAAATCCAGTTATACTTTCTACATAAACAATTAGATATCAAACATTATTATACTTTGGAGAAAAGTGTCTCAGAAATAACTTAAGTCAGTTTATGCTGACATATTTGCAAAGGGAAATGATTATGTGTTGCCAACATTGTAACGCCATGCTTCCACATGTGCTTCAAAGTATAGAGTACCTATAGTTTATAGTTATTCATTTAGAATCCCTGTTGTGCAATTCTGTAACACAATCCACGGGATTCTAGGTCAATCCTCTTTAAATGAATTTCATTTCATGGCTTAAGTCGAGCAGTGATTAAGCATTAAGAGAATTCCATTAAAATGCATGGTAGAGTAAGATAGGCAGCTCCTTTTAACCCCAGAGGTAATGAATGAAGAATAAGATGGCCATTCCTGGTCTTTGCTTTGAGAATAAGGGACAAGAGGACAGAAGGATGAGGAAGGGACAGTGATTCTGATGGATATTCCTGCCTAAAAAAAGGAACACAACTCCCCATGTTCCTGCTGCTGATTGATTTAAATGACTGGTGGAAGGCAGGGCAGGGAAGTTAAACTAGAGCCACTATCTGTGCCTGGTGGGTTCTTATCACTGCCTTGGCTCTGTCATGTCCCCAAGCTTGGTTTATTCTAAAGATAAGTAGTTAGTAACAGTGACCAAAGTGAAATATTGCTGTTTCCCTTTCAAAGTGACACAGAAATACCCCCATGTGTCATAAACATGCACATGTAATTTGTTGTACTCAGTAGAAAGTCCAATCAATATAGAGGCTACATATAATTTAGCCACATTAAACTTGAGAAAGATAAATACTTTTTAATAAATGATAACATCATGAAGACAGATAACCGAGGAGGGTGCTTAATATGTCCTTCTCACAAATGATTTTATGTGATGAAAATTTGTTTTCACATAGAATTAAAATGATAACACTGATGAGTAGAATATCTGTATGCATGAATGCCCTCTTAATAGAATCCATAACCTCTGATGAAACGCAATTATCTAGCTGCAAATCGAGCATGTTTTTGAGAAATGTTTGGACATCCTGAATGAAAAATAATGCAGCTTGACATAAAAATGCGATCGCCTATCTGCAACTACCACAAACACCAACATTAAATGCAAAATGTTGTTTTTTTTATGCGTGACAGACAGTAAGAATAGAAAAGTATGCTTACTGATGTGTAGAGATGGCCCTCCCCGTTCATGGCGATGTATAACCCTGTCTTCACTGACTGAATGGCGACAACTCTCAGGCCCACAGGAATAAGATTAAACAAAGCTGAAAAATATATAGAAAACATGTGTATAGAAAACATATAAGCATTTACTCGAAATGATGACAAATAAAAACCACACGATATCTTTCATACAGGCAGATATAATAATAATTGAGTGGTGAGTTTACATAATCTTTATATGGGAATCACAGCATGGTTAAACATGCAGTCTTTGCCACCCGGTGCTACCAGGGAGCAGTTATGAGTGGAGCTACCAATGGTCCATGCCAGACTTAATGGCATCTTTATTGTTGTGGCTTGTCTTGTTGTTTCTGGTTCGTAATGGCTGTTATGGTGAAAAATCAAACAGTGGCCCGGTTGAGATGTCATGCTTGTGTCTATAGGAGAATTAACCCTTTGAAGCCTGATCCAAGAATAAAACAAAACATAAAATTATTATTTTTTGTTTGAATTCCTAATTTGGCCTTTTAACTATTTAAGTAAAAAGAAAAAACAAATATGTATTTTTAATATTACTAATTTATTACTATGCGATAAGTCAAGATAATTTTTTGTGTAGTCTTCTGCCCCCTGTTATCACGTGTATCTGATTGTGTACAATAGAATCTTGAACAAAGTTTTTACCATTAAATTATGCAAAAGGTGTCAGACGCAAAACATTTCAGAAACCGTATGTATCATAAATGTTACACTATATTGCCAAAAGTATTTGCTCACCTGCCTTGACTCACATATGAGCTTAAGTGACATCCCGTTCCTAATCCATAGGGTTCAATATGACGTCGGTCCACCCTTTGCAGCTAGAACAGCTTCAACTCTTCTGGGAAGGCTGTCCACAAGGTTTAGGAGTGTGTTTATGGGAATTTTTGACCATTCTTCCAGAAGCGCATTTGTGAGGTCGCACACTGATGTTGGACGAGAAGGCCTGGCTCTCAGTCTCCGCTCTAATTCATCCCAAAGGTGTTCTATCGGGTTGAGGTCAGGACTCTGTGCAGGCCAGTCAAGTTCATCCACACCAGACTCTGTCATCCATGTCTTTATGGACCTTGCTTTGTGCACTGGTGCACAGTCATGTTGGAAGAGGAAGGGGCCAGCTCCAAACTGTTCCCACAAAGTTGGGAGCATGGAATTGTCCAAAATGTCTTGGTATGCTGAAGCATTCAGAGTTCCTTTCACTGGAACTAAGGGGCCAAGCCCAGCTCCTGAAAAACAACCCCACACCATAATCCCCCCTCCACCAAACTTTACACTTGGCACAATGCAGTCAGACAAGTACCGTTCTCCTGGCAACCGCCAAACCCAGACCCGTCCATCAGATTGCCAGATGGAGAAGCGCGATTCGTCACTCCAGAGAACGCGTCTCCACTGCTCTAGAGTCCAGTGGCGGCGTGCTTTACACCACCGCATCCGACGCTTTGCATTGCACTTGGTGATGTATGGCTTGGATGCAGCTGCTCGACCATGGAAACCCATTCCATGAAGCTCTCTGCGCACTGTTCTTGAGCTAATCTGAAGGCCACATGAAGTTTGGAGGTCTGTAGTGATTGACTCTGCAGAAAGTTGGCGACCTCTTCGCACTATGCGCGTCAGCATCCGCTGACCCCGCTCCGTCAGTTTACGTGGCCTACCACTTCGTGGCTGAGTTGCTGTCGTTCCCAAACACTTCCATTTTCTTATAATACAGCTGACAGTTGACTGTGGAATATTTAGGAGCGAGGAAATTTCACGACTGGATTTGTTGCACAGGTGGCATCCTATCACAGTTCCACGCTGGAATTCACTGAGCTCCTGAGAGCGACCCATTCTTTCACAAATGTTTGTAAAAACAGTCTGCATGCCTAGGTGCTTGAATTTATACACCTGTGGCCATGGAAGTGATTGGAACACCTGATTCCGATAATTTGGATGGGTGAGCAAATACTTTTGGCAATATAGTGTACATTTGGCATTACAGGGTTAAAGGCACTGATCGGGTAAACGATTGGTGCTTAGAGGGTTGGAGACTGGGCGGATGTCTGAGCAAACTAAATGTAGACGGGTTCATTTTCAGTGGCAACCTGTCTATTTAAAGATGTTTAAAAATCACTGCCAACACCTAATCTGATTTTAGTGGCATTGATGACTAGATCTATATTCCTTGTCCACACCACCCCTTAAAAACCTGCTTTTTCAATAGTCATCCGATCAGATGTGACATGTGCTATATCTCCTCTTGCTGACAGCAGTAAGTGACACATTGTGGAGTGTCAGGAAAGTGTTAGCACCAACCACTGGAATTAAATTAAACACGTAGCCCGGAGCACTGGAGGGGCTGTGTCAGAACAAGCTAATAATACCATTTCCTCCCTGTTAAAGCCTTCTGTTTCCTGGTCCACTTTCCCCGTCGGCCATGAGGACAAATTAGTTTGATCACATGGCAGCATTTTAAGGAGATCTTTTCACTCCATAGGATACATTATGAGGGAACGTTTTGAGAAAAGTGTTAGACCAGAGAGACAGAAGGAAGGTTCAGTTTATTCACCATAGGGATAGATTGTCAAGAGGAAGACTTTATATCTCTTACAGCAGATTGTGTTTAAGAGTAAGACTGACTGCGCTTTGGGAGGTTTTAAAAAGAGTCAGAGTGTTTATTTATTGTGGCCTTTGCTAGCGATTTCTCACTTTTATTCAAGATAACCCTAGAAAGTTTTTGATAAAAGACCAAAAGATAATGATAAGATACTCACAGGAATTGCTGCTGTCATCCTTGGTCCCATCAAGAGAGCCATCGGGGTTCATTTGCAAGTAGTATCCCTGCCTGCAATATAACCTGGTCACTATGCCCTTGAGCTGGGGATCTATGGAATAAAACACAGAGAATAATTAGGAATCTCACAAAAAAGCAAACATCTTGAGCAAAAGTTACCATTTCCTTCTAAAGGGATTCTGCTCAGCACCATTCTGTTTTGGAGGGCTTTACCAGCAAAAAACCATGAAAAACCATGTGACTCCTGTGTTTTTCCATAGACAAATCCCAGAGCCACCTTTCAGGGAACATAAGCCCCATCCTGCTCAGAGATAGTCCATCCAATTATAGGCATCAGAATTAATCTGTTGCTGTCTGACTCCCATAATGAACCCAACAGCACCCTCTCTGGGTCCGTAATGCGTAGGATGTAGGAGTGTCTGTGTTTGGTCCCTTCTGACTGATCCAACCGGGAAAATAGCCACATATTTGGAGCAGATAAATTACTGCTGTGGATACATTGCCAGGAGCCATAGTAGCTCAACATGTCAAGTTTTATTATTATGAGGAAAGTAACTGTAAAATATATGAATGTGAATATTAAAATGTGAAGACTTTAATAAAGCTTCATGTGGTGGATAAACAATTACTTTTGTTCAAGCCATCTGACAATGCGATCCTTATTTTGTGTTGGTGTGGTGCACATGTGTGTTTTGGGGTCACCGTATACCTTTGATAGAAAACTTATTGTAGAGACAGCTATCACATTTGATTTCATTCTAAGAAAGCCCCAGGGACTTGAAAAAATCTCATTCACCTGCGCCGAAACCGTCTTCTTTGTAGGCTGTGTGTGTGTGTGTGTCTGTGTTTATGTTTGTGTGTGTGTGAAAGACACTGAAGGAAGATGGAGCGCATCGGCACAGACGAGACCCGGAGAGGTCTAGCTGAGGGCAAAGTCATGCTTTTTTTCTGTTCCCCTCGCGGTTCAGGACATTCCCTTCTGAGACGGGTCTGGTCAGGTGACGGCATTAAGTAGCCTGGAGACCAATCCTGTTGCATGACAGGTGAATCTGAACAACAGAATTCAGCTCTACTGCTTTACTGCTTCAGCAGAGCAGTGGAAAGGCGACTTTAGCCGAATCTGACTGAGTATGAGTGCCTCCCAATAACATGATGCAGGCTGACAGCACAGTATTTATCTGGTTTACAACAACGCGAAGCAGTCAAAACTGTCACCGGCATTTAGCTGGAGACATTTAACAATGTGCAGATATCATCCTTTAACTTTTTTTTAGAAAATATCTGATTAAGTTGTAGCCAACATTCAATGTCCTGTTATATTTTGCAGTAAAAAAAAGAAATTGTGCTAATGGAACAAGACTGGGAAAACTCCAAATGAATATCAGTATTTTGACTTTAAACGTATAGATTACCACTTTAACTGAATTCATTTCTAAGTCTAATCCAATCTCTTTAAGGTGCAAATTGGCTTACATATTTGTCTCATAGTAAATTGTACATTTCCTAGTTTCATTATGAGGGTTTTTCTTTTCCCATCGGCCCAAAACTGAAAAGAACTGACCCAAATGATTTCATCCAAAAAGTTGCAAAATTAACATGTTTAGTCATTTTGATGATGAATAGCTGTCACTTTAGCACTTTAGCAAATCATTTGACATAGAGTGGGTTAAACAAAAGTCACAAGAAAAACCGAAAAGTAACAGATTCCTTTTTGTCCTTGAAGACGTTACAGATGTATTCATGAACAAGCAAATACCAGCACTGTAGGCATTTTTTCACATGGATTTTTAATGAGTGCACAGTTCACTTAAGGAAATACTGTACTTTTGTGTGGATACAAAAAGTTGGCAAAACCTGGGATCGATTAATGACTTTGCCCAGTCTTTAAAAATTGTGGTTGGAAGTGAGATTGATTCCAGGGACAGATCAGTGGAGAGCAATCTGTAATAATTAAAAGTGCCTAACTGGTGGCTGGCTATGTGAATTGTTTGTGTATACGTGTGTGTGTGTGTGTGTGCTTGTGTGTGTGTGTGAGGTGAACTTGGCTCCTTCGTTGTGCTATAAATCATGTGATGCTGGCTGTGTTCCCTGGGGCAAGCAAGCCAGTATATCTCAGACACACAGATTTCCCCATCAGATTCTATCTTTTCAGCTTCTGAGTCGCAGCCAGATTATGATGGAAATCTGTTGAAATTTGGGTAATTTATCAAAACGAGATACATTTTATCTGTCTCTGTTAACAAAATACAGGACAAAGAAAGGATTTGAATATTTGAATAAGTTATGATTATGTATGAGCTTCTTACATAATTCTGATTTCTAACAAGATTCTGCATTGTTGTTGGAGTTTGTTTGTTTTTAAACCGTCGATTGAGTAAAAAGGTGCGGCTGTCATTAAGATCAGAATGAGAAAAGGTGAAAATAATTGTCTGAGAATGGAAGGAAAAAAAAGCTTATACAAAAAACAAAATGTTCTGTTCTTTTAGAATTACTAAGCATTTTCATCACCATAAAACTACCTTCATATACACTCATTAAAATCCAAGCCTTTTCATAGATGCCCTAGTTGCATTTTCTATCTCAAAAAGGTCTTTGACTCATCATTTTCTGTTTTTGTTTCATGCTGCTTTCCTAAATATTCTGATTACTAAGTCCGGTCCAAACAGAGAAAATGGCAGTCACAGATCAACAGGGAAGCGGGAGAGGGGATTCCATGAAAAAATAATGACCCCTCAGAACCATGTGATCTCCAACTGTATAGCTCCGCATCCTCTTGTAAAGATCCTCTTTACATATAAATTGGACCGTCACAGAATGGCTGCTAGGTTTTTTTTCCTCCGCTAAGTGGCCTCTCCGTGGCTCGCTCATTATCTTTTTCCGTCTCATTTTTCTGTTGTGTCATCCCAACGTGCGCGGTCACACATGTTCCCGCTCAGTTCCCAGCAGGCAGAGCCTCGGAGTGAGGACGAGCACACACACACACACACACACACACACGGGCACAGCTGCAGCAGCCCTCCTAGACTGCTGTCAGCCCTGCCCTGTCTGACCCACTTTGGATGTTTCTGGAATACGAGAAGGGCTTTTCCAGCCCGCCAAGGAAAAACCCTCTCCCTGTTTTTTTTTTGCTTCTGTCGTCATATAAAAGAAGATCAAGCCGGGGGAACGCTGACTTCACTGTCACCCCCTTTTCGGATTCCTCTCACACGGACCACGTCTCTGACACGTCAACAGTATAACTCTTCTGGTACAGACAGCTCTGAGAGCTGAACGATGACACACTGCCGTATCCTGTCAACATGCCCTCCAACAAACATCGGAGGTGCAGGAAACCCATTAGTTTCTGATGGGTTTCTAGATCATGCCAGCTAATCTAATCAGGTAACATGATCTAATGGTCTACGGATCTAATATAGTAGGATAATTACAGACAGAGCAGTGAGCTTATGGGTCCAAGCCGCATGTGCCCCCGTCGCTCAACTTGTTGGATTGGAATATGATAGGATTTGCGACTCACATTAAATCCTTTCAAAAATCAGGGTGATCACTGGCTCTGCATCTGCCATTAAAACACATGAATGATTTCAAATTGAGGCTTATGTGACAGACAAAACACAAACTGTTTTTCTGCCATATTCCCAAAGGCATGAAGGGAGGACAGGAGATCACATCTGTGCATTCTAATAAACACAAAACAGACACGATTTTCTTTCTCGGCATGTTTCTGAACACTTTATTACCAGTAATAGACCCTAATGATGAGTAATATCTAAAATACCAAATGAAGACGATAGAAAAGTTCATTTTCTGCTTATGGTAATTTAGAGTTTGGCTTAAAAGCAAAAGGTACATTTGTGACAATCAATGTCGCCAATAGGAGATAATCCGGTGTCCACAGTCACAGAATCAATATTCAGTACCAAGTGAATACAGGATTTAGGGCTACTTTATCCTGACAAACCTGTGGATGGCCAGAGAGCTGCTCTGTTCTTCGCTCAGCTATCACAACAAAACTCCAAGTCTTCCTCACCTGGGAAATTAAGAAAACCGTGAAATTCCACCTCAAAACTAAATTATCTGTGCCTTTATTGCACAACGAAAAGGTCCGTTCAGACTCCAACAATAAATTAAACTTACCAAACAAACATCAGTCATTCCAGGTTGTGTTCTTTGACGATAATTTGGCCAATTAAATAAATGAAAGCGAAAATAGAGTGGAGAGATACTAGTGGATGAACATGAAAAACAGTCGCATCTGGAAGATTTCAATGGAAGCTTCCTTTCGGCAATAGCTGATGTAATGCTGTCAAGATTAGCCTTTTTTCTCAAGTGTCACTGAAATCAATGAAGTATATTCCCATTAGTGCCATTAATTACAAACAGTGCAAAACAGAGAAAATAGTGTTTGCTTTGATTAGTGATCCAAAAACTTTCCCCTTAGTTATGAATTCAATTTTAGAAAGTCTGCCTTATCTCCCAGACAGCAGGGCTTCGCTATCTTAAGTCCCATGACAAAATTAATTGTCCCTGGGGCCAACTATAACTGCAGATTCACATCGTTATTCAGAGAATCAGGAGGCCCCCCAAGTCCCTCCATAAAATGCTTTTTAATATTGTCAAGTCATCTTAGGTCTGAGTGGGAATCCCTATTCCTGACATCTAGATGTATTCATCTTACAGTACACACATTAAGATCTTTGGAGATACCAATATATAGAAGAACTAATAGACATTTAAGAATATGAGTCTTCCATGTTTTCTTTTCATGCCAACCTTGATATTATCTCCCTGGTCAAATATAGTATTTTCATCTACCTCCATCTGGGAGCTTTAGGACCAAACTGACCATATCCACTAAAAAAAAGATGGTTATGCCATGAGTCAGAGTTGACAGGCATTTAAAAACAGAAATAAATACTTCCAGGCACATAAACCTCTAACACATAATAGTGATTTGGAGAAGACTACACCTCAGTCTGTGGGTTACATGAACATTCCATTCTAATGAACCCTGACCTATGTCCAGATGTGTCCTATGCGGGCTGTTATATAGATTGTTTTTTTAAATTCCTTTTAATCCATATAATCACCGAGGGGTGGTAAAGAGGACATTTCACCGTGCCGTCAGTTCTTATGTGAAAGCAGATAGTATGAGACAGACTCACCGATCAAAATGGTTCTCTTTGTGGACAAGATGAAAGACTAAAGGTTGCCTCTGAGTCTTTTAAACAAAGGTAGCCTAGACGAAAATAGCAGTTCACCATAGAATAAGGCCCATAAATCAGCTCATGTTAAACCACATCTGATGCAACAGGTATAATACCTGATGATTCTGAGGGTATGTGTATGCCCTCTGTCAAACACAACCACAAAAACTGAACAGTGACTTATTTTCTTATATTACTCTCAAATCTCTTCGATAAAAAAACTCATTTTCGTATTATTACAAGCAGCTCGACCATTTTTGAGGGTGCTCTTTCATATTCCCAGGTTGCCAGTTACAGTGAGAACGGTCATGACATTTTCATAATTAGAATGAATTTCAACTGGGGTAAGAGGCTGTTGGTCCCAGAATTCGAGAAAAGATTGTGTTTCAAAGCGTTAACCCCCATCTCTGGGGAAATAGTGACCTTTTTACGCATAATGAGTTTCAATACGGGCTATATATGCTTATATGAGACTGTTCTTTTTATTTATTTATTTATTATCATGGCCAGGCCCTTTTCAGGATCGAAGCAGTGGCAGCTCAGTACACCTGTCTAAACCCTCTCCACAAATGGTCTGGAGTCAGTCATTTACCTGTAATTTAAACGTCTACCAATATGGGCTGAATAAGAAGAAAGATTCTTCTCACTTCTTTAAGTGAAATTTGGCATGTCTGTGTGATAACGTTTTTTTGTTTGTTTTTGTTGGCTTTTTTGTTTTTTAATTCATCTGTAAGTAGGTGCCAGTGCCAAAAAAAAATCTATTGCCATTTTCGGACTAACTCAACTGGCACCCATTGATCGAATGTATATGCACATGGTTTACACAGAGTGCAAAACGTTTTCCTATGCCAAACAACACAGGCACTTCGCACACTTCGAAGTTCCCAGACCTTGTCTCCGTAGTCTCCTCTTCCTGAGGCCGAAGATGCGCACTTTAGAGAAGATGTCCACCAGGTTCCCATTGCAGAGCCCCTTGTTCTTGTTGGGGCTCTTCCTCCGTCGGTTGGTCGAGGGGCGATCCAAATGCTGCTCCCGCGCCTGCCGCTTCTGCCTGATCAGCCCACTCGCGATGGCAGCGGCCATGGCTCAAAAATGTCACAACTGCTCTGGTCCACAGCCTTGTCCACAGAGCACTGACCACACAAACAGCCGCCTCCCGGAGACCGCAGCCCGGGTCACAGCCCCATAGTGGCGACTGAGCGGTCCCTTCCGTGATGTCAAAAGTCAAGATATGTTCTTTTTAGTGGCTGTCTTTCTTTTTCTTTTTTTTGTCCAGACACTACATGGTAAGTACGATATTAGACCAGACTGTCATTGTCAATTAAAAAAAAAAAAAAAGGTTGATCATGGTGGAAGAATAAGGCGACTTCATGCGTAAATCCACACATCAGTGACAACAGTCTTGGATAAAATAAAAAAAAAGCAATGTCAAACTCGCGCGCCCGGAGATTTGGGAGGAATCGTTCATACCTTCACGGTGTGACTGGTCATTGTCTGGGAAAAATTCGGCGGCATCTTCTCCTCATAAATTCGGCATCCTCGCTGCAAAATTTCCACCCGCTCTTTCCTTCTTTCTTTTTCACCCACCGTTTTTTTCTCCTCCTTCTGCCAGACGAAGGTTTTTTCTCTGTTTTTTTTAGGGCTGCAGCGGGGACGACCGTGCATGTGCGCCGCCGGGCAATTAAACAAAAAACACAGGAGCCTCCCACAAAGATCAGCACCCGGCTGAAGGCGCACGGCAAGCCGGGGCGAGACGAACTCCAAGTTGGCGGAACCCCCCCCCCCCCTCAGAGCCGTGGCTGTTGCGCGATAATCCAACTGACTGCAAATCTACAGGATGATGTTCTTAAAAAGACTAAATTCCCCCCCATTGAATCCGACATCACAGCGCAAAACGGCTGAACGGGAGAAAGAAAAAATAGGGAACACAGGGAGGAGAGAGGGGAAAAAAATCACCTAAACTGGTCTAAGTCTTGTAAAGATGACGTCTGCACTGTCTGACAAGCTGCCTGGATGGATAAACTTAAACGCCCCGGCCACGATCATTAAAAAAAATCCCACCTATTGTAATCACAAATCCTGCTGTGAGAGAGATGCATACATGGCGAACAGCGCGTTATATGGAGAGAGTAATGTCACTGACAAACAGTGCGATTCATCTCCCCCAAGCTAAGAGCAAAAAAAAAATAAAAAAATAGGCAGATCGGAAGCGGTGGTCACTCGTTTTAGTCTCTATGTCCGAGATCTACTAATCTTCCTCATCAACAAGTCCTAACAGCTCGTTTGTACGAGCCTGAGTGAAGAGGATGGCCTCCCCCCCCTATCCCCTCCCTCTCCGACACCAAGCCCCCGCTTGAGGGAGAAAGAACAGCAGGTCTGCATGCTGCTACTAGAATGCGAGATTTTTTTATTTATTTTTTCACTCTTGAGCGTTTCAGATTGTTCTCCGCAGTGAGCCACATTTACTTTATAATTAGACATCTCACTCCAGAAGCGGCACGGCTCTGTCAGAGCTGGCGGAATGCCATCATTCAAAAATCACAACAGTGTCAATACTTTAAACACGCAAAATAATTCAACCAGATCAATGTAACTTTGTGCTTGTGAGGTGCATGTAGAATCCTTTTCAATTGAATGGAATGGAAGAGGTCCCTGTTTTTGTGGGACTGTTCGCTTCAGTTGCTCGGTGTGGATTCAGCACCATGGACAGAGTCCATACTTTCTGCCTCGCGTTATGATGGAAGAAGGATGTTTTTTTCTCCAAACGGACATCGCATCCTTTTTACCGGAGTGTCCGTCTCCAGATTGAGACGTGTTAGGTAAAACCCCAAACAACTGATCCACGGCTGATCTGATCTGAACCAAACGCCCCGCGGACACGTCACCTCGGCGTGAACGCTTAATTAAACCGCGTCCGTTCCACGGACTGGGAAACGTTTTCCATCCTCCCCCCC